TAAAAAAAAGATTAAATGGGTATTTTAATCCAGAAAAGGCTTAGGGGAGATCAGTGCAGCCAGCATGTCTGGAGAGATCCCCTGAATGAAACAGAGCGGGTCTCATTTCCAGTGCATATAATGCTTGCACTTGGCGTGCTGTTTCAGAATAAGTGTGCAGTGAATATTCATCATGCCAGCCAGAGGCAGTCACTGCAGCATACGCAAAGGAGGCAGGGAGGAGAAAAATCAGGTTAAAGACTGGCTTGCTCTGTGATTTGCTTCCTGCTTGTTCCATGATCTCCATTTTAAATAAATGCATTTAATTAATCACGGTGTGGTTATACTGACCGGAGGGCAAGGGGGGGGTCTGTCACTAGGGATGGGGCTATTCCTAGACTCACAAAATCTATAGCGTGCATGTGTTGTTGGCTAGAAAAATCAGACAGTTCTAAAGAATTTCCTTTGAAAAGAATAAGAATAGATGGCTTGGTTGGAAGCTTTTATCTGAATGGCCTCTTGGATTCACAAGCTACTGAAACCTCACACACAGGGACAAAAGGATGAATGGGAAGAAGAGGATCAGAGTGGAAGCAAGCTGCTGTCTCGGCTGAGTATGTCACATCGTCACAAATATCTCTGCCTAGAGCTAGAGCTACCCAGAAATGCTTCTCCCTCCCTTTAGCAGGGGCACAGCTGCTCTCATGCAAAATTCAGCCTTCTTCTGACAAAGGTTCTTTAAGAAAGCACCAGAGACAGAGGAGGCAAAAACAAAGCACGACACTCATAATATATAGACAGTTGTCATTATGGAAAGTAAGCACCACCTGTTCTTAGCAAACACCAGATTTTAGCTGCAGAGCTATGCAGAGAGCACAAGTATGCACAGGCCCCGAAAAAGAAAAGAAAAGGTCAGTGAGAAAAACAATCCTCTGCGTCCTGGGCCCGGTCTTGATAGGAGCATTGATTTGCTGGCTGAGAGACACCATGTTTCGTGCTCTGTTAGCAGGCCGTCTGCCCTGCACTTAGAAGACGTCTCAATTCCAGACTATTTTAACCCATCACTCTGCATGTCAGCTTTGTTCTGCTTCCGCATCATTTGAAATAGAGTACAGACCAGTGAAATCCAACCCCTCCATTGAGTGAATGCACAAATACAGCCTTCCAAAAGAACCGTGTAAATCTGGGTGATGGACATTTACCTAAGAGTCTTTCATCAAAAGATTGCCAATCCCGCAAACTTCACAGGGGTCAGTCGTTTTGCTCATTTTCGAAATGCAGCCTGTCGGGGATGGAATGACACTGTTCTTTAAACAATTCAATCCTGACCACAACCTTATTTAACTGAACCTACAGGGGGAAGCTAGGGCTGCTGAAAGGTGTCCATGCTGTAATTTCTAACACATGCTTCTTGCAAACAGTAGCCTAGGATTTTTTTATGCCTACTACTGTTCATTAGTTTACTTTTATATTTTGGTTTTAAAAAAAATAAATCCGGCCTGTTCAGCTGCGCAGTATCTCTTACGGCTATGGATGTGGTTCCACCTTAAGTAAGAGCTCTGCGGAGATGCTTGCATTTGTCTCGGAGCCTGTGGGCGGTGGCTGAGGAGGTCAAAAAGGCATCTTCCATTTTAGAACGCAGACACTCACACACATCTGCAGTGGCAGGGTCCAGGAACTGCAGCTGCAGCCTGAATTTAGTTTCTGTTTTGTGCCTATGTTTTAACAATAAATCGCTTGGTCATTGAACATAAGGATTCATCGAGAAGAAAGAAAGTACTACCTACCTAGCACACTCCACTTCAGGGAATGCCTAAGTGCTGGCAAAAACGGGCCAGTCCTGTTTTTCTTTGTGATGACCTCCAACAAGATCATATACAGCTGTAGGGTGCAGAGAAAAGAAGTGTAACACTTTAAATGAAGTGTGATAAATATAGTTTGGGGGCGGTTAGCTTTGTTTAGTCAGTTTTTATAAGTTCAATAAACAGCTTAAAAGCATGTATTAGGCCCCAGAAAATACGCAAGAGCACAACTTATCCTGTTAAGTGTAACATTATATCTAAATGGAGTGTTTTTGTGTGTGACATTCTTGTTGATCAGACAGTAAATAAGTCTGAATAGAGGCTTTAGAAGCTGAGGGGTAGCTGACATTTATCCCTGATCTGAAATGCCTGAACATAAAGTGGTAGTAAACTGAACTGTGACCTTCCTGCCTGACATTCCAGATACAAACAGTGTTGTCAGGTAAATCAAGCAGAAGTGAAATTTCTTGAAAAGGCTGCTGAAGCCCTGCTACTAGGAAATGATGGATATTAACCTATTAAGTTCCAGCTGTAACGGTCTCCCTTCTGTGAGTTCCTCAGCCCCCTGTAAGGATAATTAGTTTCCTTTGGCTTAGTGAGTATTAAGGAGTATTAATATGCTTAGTTTACAGGGGCAACAAATGTATTCAAGGGCTGTGATAAAGACAGAAAAGAGTAGGCAAGCCCCTTAGTCTTGGTGCTCACAGAATCCTGATTCCAGGGTAGATATTTGCTAAATGTGGTTTAAATTACTCACTTAATCTGGTGGGTAGATTGGTGTTAGCTGAACCAGCTTAAAAGGACACTCTCCTGTTTTGCAGTAGATTTGAGTGGTACAAACAGAAAACATGTCTGTCGGCTCAGTGGCATTGTTTAACACTTTCAGGCAATGCAGGGCCCCCTCATTCTGCTATAGGAAATAACCCTTTGCACTGCAGGAAGGGATCTGAAATGGCCCCTGCAGAATGTCGAGATCCCAGTGTCAAGTCTCTGATCAACATAAAGCAGCTGTCGTGGGTCCTCGTTCTGGTAAAGGGACATGTAGCAGACAGGAGCATGGGCGGAGTACACCGTGTGCTCCATTTGCTTTGCTGGGATTGTTACACTCCTCTATGGACCGCAAGTCAACATATGTCGTATAAACCTTGGGAGCGATTCTTCAGTGCACTAGGGCAGGCATCTGACACAAGCCAGAACTGGGAGGTGCAAAAGTGGCATAAGGTCACCTCTGTCTCTCTCTGCCCCATTTGTATGCTGAACGGAGGAAAAGAGAGTCTGTGCCAGAGTTGTTTGGCAGGCGTGCTGAAAAGGAGCAAACATTTCTTTGTCAAAGCTTGATAAGGGTGGAACAAAAGGGGTCACATTTGCTGAGTACAAGAAGAGAGAGGATCAATTCCTGATTTTGAAGTAGGCCAAGACACATGCTGTTCAGTTCTTTAATTTATTATTTCAAGGAAATGGTGGGGGGCGGGGGGGGCGGACGACGACTAAATGTACACACAGCCCCAGGCAAGAAACGGAATTAAGATGGAGTGAATGCTGAAAATACACAGTGGTGTCTTGGGTGTTAAATGACTTGCCAGAACGCTGCTACAGGTTGAACTTCTCTGTCCAGAACTCCCTGGTCCATGGTCCGGCAGGATCACAGCTGTTCTATCAGTAGTAGGCTGGGGCAGCCCTGGCTACGAAGAGGCCATCAGGACCCCACGGCCACGGAGGGACTACACAGTCATGGTAGGGTTGGGTAGCAGGCCAAGCAACAAGCCCAGAGTTAAAATGGTTAAATGAATGAGCGGGATTAAAGAGCTATGGTCCATGCTAGTGTTTCACATGCTTTTCCACAAATTGCTTAGCAAGAGTTTAATGAGAGGAACTTTTAAAATGAGGATTTAGGACCTAATTCTGCAACCCTTATATTTAATAGAGCCCTGCACAGATACAAAATTGGTACCGATTGAACCTCTCTCATCTGGGACTCTGTCCGGCAACATCCATGGTCCAGGAGGACCACAATTGTTGCTAGAGCAGACAGCTCCAGCCGCAGAGGTTGAGTGTGGCTGGGATGGGGGAGGGGAGGAGTATCCTGCGGGTAGAGAGCCCTGGGAGCAGCTTCTGCCCAGCTGCTTCCAGGGTTCCCTAATGCTGGTCTCCCCTGCAGCATCAGCTGCTCCTGGGGCTCCCTGTCCATTCCCCCACAGGGAACCCCAGGAACAGCAGCTGCTGTCATGGGGACTGGGGCAGGGAGCAGAGCCCTGGGAGAGGGCTGGGGGCAGCAGACCCAGGCAAGTGAGCCAGGAGAGGTTAGGCCTCCAGGTTCTCCCAGGGCAACAGCCAAGAAGGGAGCCCTGAGAGAGCCCGGACGCCTGACCTCCCCTGGTCCAGTAGATTCCCTTGTACACGACCGCTCAGGTCCCGAGGGTGCCGGATCAGGGAGATTCAACCTGTATTGTCAAAAACAAACATGGAAAGTCAAAATTAATATAACACCTACAACCCTTCTGCCAGACAGAGTTGGCAGGAATAAGGGCGAGGTTCAGTATTCGGGGGATCCTTTTCAACAACACAACACCGAAACTGGCTGGAACCTCCACCCAGTGACCTGGGACAATTACACATCACCCCTGCGTGCCTCTCCAAGGCAGTTCTTCCCCTCTCAGAAACAGAGTTGGACTGTAGCAAAAAAGAAAAAAAAAAGGAGGGAAGTAACTCAGCATTCATTTGCGAAAATGCTTCAACTAGGGTTCATAAACATAACCCATGAACCCCAAAGTTCGTTTAATGTACCCACCCCTTCTCTGCACCTCACTTACAGTTGCTGACCTTGGTCAGTGCAGCCCCAGAGTTCAGAATTCATATGCAGAGTTCACCTCCTAAGGAAACTCACCAATAGTTTTCCAGTCTAGGAAATCACTGAAATATTTACTTGCCTCTCCAAATCTCTCTGCCACTTCACCCCCCAATTTGACACCCTCATTCCCAACTTTGCATTCCAACAGTGCAGTGAAGACTTTCACTTTCCCAAAGCATTCTAGAGGAGTAGCCACACTTGTCTTTAAAAGGGAAAAAGGCTATGGAGAAGACTGTCCACAGTTTTGAAGGCCAGATTCTGAGTCTGGTTTAAAAGAATCCCTTAGGGACCAAAAGCGTTCCCCATGCCTGCCATGTAAACTGATTTATCATGTAAGATTTTAATGTTTGGGTGTTTTTGTACTTTTTCAGAACCCGAGGCAGGAGAGGTGTCCCCCCCAGTGGGAGCTGGTGTGAACAGCAACAGCTGGACCTTTAAATATGGACCTGGCAATCCCAAACAAGCTGGTCCCGGTGAGTTGCCAGACAAATTCATTATCCCGGGATCTCCTGCGATCATCTCCATCCGGCAGGAACCACCAAACAGCCAAATTGACAAAAGTGACTTCATAACCTTTGGCAAGAAGGAGGAGACCAAGAAAAAGAAGAAAAAGAAGAAGGGAAACAAGACTCAGGAGAAAAAAGAAAAGGGGAACAGCACCACTGACAACAGTGACCAGTGAGGGGTTTATACTGTCAGAACCCACTTAGCCATTTTTTTAATATTGGCAGATCTCTCCTATGTAGCAACTCCCAACTTCTTCCTACTGTTAATGC